TTTTTTTCCTTTCTAGCAAAAGGCATCTGAGCTTTGGTCTTTTGACTCATAGCTGAAATGAGCATTACTGATGATTCATGCTTCCAATGTTGTTGAATTCATAATGGAGTTTTAAGATTAGCAAAAATGCTGCTCATAACTTGCTGTCATTTCTTTTAAAAGTCCTAACATTCCTTAGTCTATAGATGTATTAGGTCACCAAAGTGAAGAATTATCCATTATGGAGTTGGCATGCAAATGTTTATCTTTACACCAAAAAGCAGATATATATGTTCTATAGCTCCACACTTCAACAGGACAGGACAGTCTCTTGCAAGTGCCTTTGTCTCCTCCTGAGCTCTGACAGCCAGCAGATAGACAGGGACAGGTGCAGCTCCTGCTTCCCTCCTTGCCAATTGGTTCTGGTCTCTTGTCATCACAGACCCAAGATTGTCAGAGAAAGATCAAATGTCCTTCAGCAACAGGTACTCAATCACTCACTTCCCACAAAGTTGAGAAAGACTGTAAAATACCTTTGGAGGTCTGCCAGCATCGCTGAAGCCACTTGCAGTCTGGAGAGTGGCCATAGTTCTTTAACACCGATGATGTAAATAGGGAAAATTCATCAAGCTAATATGAAACACAGCCTTCATAATTTAAAAATAAATAAAGTGGTTGCACCAGAAATCCCAACGTCCATATCTCAAGCAGTGTGAAGTTTACAAATGCTGTCTATAATTTAAGAAACTGAGTTCTGGCAAGAAGGAAAACATCTGTCGTAGTAAAGATTAGATTCTGACTGACAAAATGGTGCTATTTGTTTTGAAAGGCAATTAAGACATTGTTCCCAGTGACAGGAAAATTTAGAGATTATTTACATTGAGTTATAGATTACCTATCAGAAGAATCCAATTAATGATAAGTATACTCTAAAGGGAAGCACTTTGAAGGCTCTTAGAGGCTGGGGCTCCGTGTAACTAATTTCTCCTTTGGATTACTTGCTGACTGGAGTCAATAACAGTATCTGCTACAGATAACACATCAACGCCTTAATTTTACTGATATTGTTGGGTTATGGTTTTTTGGCATTTGCCTAGATTTTTTTCTTACATGCATGTCATATTGTGGCGGTCAGAGGGCAACTTTCAGGAATCAACCCTCTCTTCCATCATGTGTGCTCTGGGCATCCGTCTCAGGTCATCAGGCCTGGTAGCAAGCACCTATACCTACTAGGCTACTTTGCCAGGTAAAGCCCTACCTATCTTAATTTTTGACCAAGCTTAGGGAAGTACTCACCCATTAAATGAGCAAATTCTTAGTTTAACCAACCAACATGGAAAGACCTGGGAAAACCTGTTTTTCTAAGCAAAGACCTAAGATACAAAGTTCTTCTATTTGCACAATATTGTTAAAAAGAAAGAGACCCTGGGTAAAGGCACCTAGAAAGAAAGCACCAAGTTCATTCCCTTGGTGGTCACATGGCCAGCATGGGATACATGAAAACCTGGCAGGGCAGGTGGATCTCAGGACTTAAGCAGTTAGTGGCAAGAGCAAGGGGGAGGGGAAGGAGGGGAGGATGAGGGAGCTGGGACTGACATGTGAAGCAAGCTTGTTTCTAATTTAAATTTAAAAAGATAAAAAACCAAAAGAACATAAATAAGTTGGCGTGGTGGCTCATGGCTATAATGTCAACACTTGGGAAGATGAAGCAAGAGGACCCTGAAAAGGTCCAAGGCCAACCTGGTCTAGACAGTGAGTTCCAAGCCAGCCAGGGCTATATAGAGACCCTGTCCCCCAAAAAACTGAATAGAAACAACAACATAAAACCCACCTTACAGAAAAACTTAAATAAATGCAGGGCCATATTTCCATAGTTGTGGATTATAATCTCCATTTGTCTTTAGTCTTCTTACATTTTAAATGAATCCTAAGCCAATTTCAATGCGTTTAAGTATGCTAAAAATTATTGACAGCAACATTTATTTTTGGAAAGAGTAAAAGGTTTTCCATATTAAGTATAGCTGTGCTATGGTTCTTTAAATTTTGTTCATTTATAATTTCCCATTATAAATGAATATCAATGTTAAAAAATAGAGATCTGTGTAATGGCTCTCACAACAGCCTTGATGAAAGGCATCTTCAGTTGTTTACCAAGAGATGTTAGATATCCGTTGTGTGTTACCTTTGTACTCAGTTTATTCTTTCTTACTAGCCTGGCGTTATTTTGTTAGGAAACCATTCCTACCTATTCCTTAGCTCTTACAGGTTACACTAGCAAAGGACTAAAATTGTCAACTAAGCACGTGTTTTAACCTTTTCAGATCATTCAGGCACATCATTCCGCCAGCCAACATCCAACAAACGCTGCTTCCACCGACTCAAATGTACTATGCAATTATGCAACCTGTCTTTTTATTCCTAAGGGGGCAGAAGACACCTACAATGAGGCCGGGCAGCACCTGATTCGTTTGTTATGCACTAGCATATTCACTAAGGAGCATGAGCGTTTGCGCTCCTTATATCTAATTTTCATACGCACCAATAACGGAAGTTAAATTATACCATTGTCTGTGGATACCCTACAACATTTACAGTCAAAAGGGAATAGAGGATATGCATATATGTATATCCCTCTTTTATGGTCTTCCTAACCCTTTGATTTGAATTCTCTGTTGTTTTTTTTTTTCTCCCTTAGACTGGTAAAAACAACACTTTAATTGAAAATTCTCTTTAAAAAGACACTTCTTTTTCTTTTGTTAAACAGTCTAGTATATGCTTCTTTCTCATCCTCACCCTCTGGTCTTACGGGTAGAATAAGGATGCTTTCATTCCAGGGAACACTGGTCAGGATGCCAGCCTTGCCTGAGCATCCGGGAACATGCCAGTGTAGGATTCCCTCCCACAGCTTCCACGCGGGATCCAAACACTAAGGGTTACACCCATCTCCATCATGGAGAAGACCATCATGAGATCCTAAAAAGACACATCATGGAAGATCAGGACTCCATTGTCAAGCTCCTGGCCATAATGAAAGTCTCAATAAACACACACTAATAGGGGTCACCCACAGCAACACAGAAGAGGGAACGCCCCTGCCAGTCCTCGGGCCTGATGGTAGCCAGGACGCAGTTGGCACGCCCTGTCAGGACACGCCCTGCCACGCCTCGCCACGCCCCTCCAGACCATCGTCTAGTCCTTGGCCAAAGGGTCAGCGCACGCGCGTCTGCGCTCAGAGCCACAGCTTGGTAACTACTGTCCTCTGTGCTTGCAGGCGAAGCGCTCGCGGCGCAACTGTGCGCCATGGAGGGGGATCTGGGATGCTACAAGCCAGAGTGAAAGAGGCACGAGTGAGCAAGCCTGAGCTGGCTGGATCAAGACATGTCCCGGTGCCCATCTCGTCCCCATTCTATGCCCTCAGAAACTGCCAGGCAGCTAGGGACAGTATCAGGGCGGGGTCTCTCCCAGCGGGAGGCGAGCGAGACCGTTAAGCTAGAACACCCGGAGACCGTCTTGGCAGCTCGGGCGCCACCCGCGCCGCAATAAAAGCCTCTCGCGGCTTCCCGCCCAGCCAGCCCCGCTCTGATTGGTCGCCGATCGGAGTTGGCTGGAGGCGGTGGCCCAGCTCTGCTCTCCAGTTGCCCACGGAGGGAGGGGCGCTGGGTGCTCCTGGGGCCGCCCTGTGCACTCCCCACTCAGGGCTCAGCGATCCAGGACAGGTACATCTGGCAGAAATGACAGCCACGCGCAGTCAGTCCCCTATGCCTAGCCTGGTTTCAGCTGGTGCTTGGCAGCACACGCCCCCCGCCCCAGCTGTCCGCCCATCCCACCCAGCTCTCTGCGCGGCCCCAGAGCCCTTTTCTTCCCCCCTCCCAGTCCATGGGGACGCCAAAGCGCAAATCCTTGGGTGGTGTGGAGATAGCAGCTGGAGAGGAGGGTGGGCACACTGAAGAATTTTTCAGGGAAGCTGAGATGGAAATAGACCAAATGCAATGCGCCCCCCCCCACCTCCGGGATGTGAGGATCTCTGGGCGGAGGCACAGCCCCCGCCACCCGCGACAGCATTGCTATAGTCTTTCTCCCGAGCACCCCATTGTTCACACTTTGCCAGGATCAGAAACATCGCCCAGAGAAAGGAGAATGGGGCGAGGTGTCTCGGGCAGCTGGCTACCTGCCATTCTTCACTGACACCGTGTAACCCTGGGCTCGCGGTGCGTGTAAAGGCACACGCGCGCACACGCGCGCGCGTGCACGCACACACACACACACACACACACACACACTAGGCAGCCTGGATCACGCCCTCCTAGCCCTCCGCCCCTCTGCACTTCCTCCTGTCAAAACGCGGCGCTGGACCCTCCCATCCCTCCGTGCTCCCAGCCGAGGGCAGGCTTTGCAACTACCCAGCAATTTGGCAAATGAAAAACTAACGTCATTTGCACGGGGGTGCAGGAACGACCACACGGCCCTGCGGTGCTGCCCAGGGCTGCCCCATTTTACAAACCGTTATTCGGGGCGGGGAAGAAGGGGGAGAGCACGAAGGCGGCGGCGAGCCCCACTTTATCACACCCCGGGACATAACGATGGGGAGAAAGCTGCCCCAGCCTTATTGTTCACTCTTCCCGAAGCTTGACAAGCCCCTCTTGGTGGAAGACGAACCCGGGGGCGGCACCACCCGAGCCGCGCATCCCCAACGCCCGCCGTCAGGGAAGGCAAAGCAGCGCTCCCCATCAATGCAACATCCCTGTCCCATACCCCTGTCCCACCTCCGCGGGCACACAAGTGGGAAGGGCGTGCGCGGCCGCCACTGAGCGGGGAGGCAGTGGTCCGGGAGGGCACGGGTTTGGCTGGACAGCAAGGACGATGAGACGCGCTCCCTTCTCAGCTCAGTGGAAAAGCCTAGGTCTTAGTCTTACACTCAAATTCCCCAAAAGAGCCGTGCTCATCGGGGAGAAGGAGGAAGGACAGGGGTAAGCAGACAATTAGCAAGCACGATGTAGAATTTTTTAAAAATAAAAATGTACCTGCGGTTCCCAGGAAAAACAAAGTCCAGATGAGATCCGTAGTTCGCAGCATTGTAAACTGCCACTGGAAGGGATGTTCTGGCCGCGGTAAATTCTGTGCCTTCCCCTTGCTAGCGACTGTGGACGGCGGCGGAGCAACGGACCGAGGAGCAGACAATTGCCAGGCTGGGTAAGATTATTTTTGCAGAATTGTTTCCTGCCAGCCACTGCCGAGCTGCGTTCACGCGCTGAGCGGAGAATGAGTGACAGTCCCAGCCTCAGCACCCTCGCAACTCCGAGATCCCTGCGCTGGTCCGGGTTGGCTTTGATGGAACTGGGGATGCGAGCAACGGGCGGGGGGCGGAGGTGAGAACCTCACTGTGTCCTTCCACCACGCCGACCACAAATAGTTCCTCACATCCAGGAGGTAAGAGACAGGGGAGGCAGATGCGGCCGCCTGCAAAACACGGCCTGGAATCAGCGAGGGAGCTGGGCTCTTTCACGCGCAGCCTTCCAGGATGAGCTGGGATTTCTTTTCACCCTTTTCCTTCATTCATGCCTTCGCAGATCCTTCTGCCCTCCAGCGTTCCTTAATCAGGAATTTGAACATTTTAATAATTACCAAGAGAAAAAAAGGAAAAGAATTTTTGATGGCGTTAGATTTTCAAAGTTGTGTAATCCCTTCGTTTAGTTACTAAAGTCCTTGCAATAGGAAGCATACGGCTTCATTTTGTGTGTGTGTGTGTGTGTGTGTGTGTGTGTGTGTGTGTGTGTGTGTGAAGGAAACTGGAAATTTGGAGAGAGATGACTGTGCAGAGGATTGTTTTTGCTGTTTGTTTGTTTTCTCTTGGCTATGAAGTTTACCTTCCCACAGAGGGAGCAACTCACAATAGCACATCTCAGATTTTAAAAATGGGGGTGGGGAAGCCAGTCAGAAGAAAACGCAGAGACACTCAGGAATAATATCCAAAAATAACCAGAAACTGTTTAGAAGTATTGGAATCCCACCTCCTCTCTCCCTCTTTCTGACTCTTCTAGAGGTATTATGGCACAGGAGCAACAGTAAACATTCTCCTTCAACAGGGCACAACGCCCATTTTTAAAGCTATGAAAATTAAGTATGACTGAGATACCAGCACAAAGACCTCCATTAGTCACACAGTCTTGTTGGTTAAAAAGAAGGGGTCGGGGACAGAGTGAAATTCTTACACATCCGCACCTGAACAGGACTATACAGAGTGTGTTCTGAAAGTGTCTTGACTTAGGTTAGCCTTGCACAGCAAAAGCCTCCAACAGAGGAAAGACCAGCTTCACCCATACACCCAAACCCTGCCATTTGCTTTAAAGGGCAGGCTCCTTGGTGTTATAGCAGTCAGAAAAAACACCTTCTGCTGGCTGATCTGTCACCCTCCAGCTCTCCTTTATAAGGGATTCAGTAGAGCACACCACATGCTGGGATTTCCAGGGACCCATGGGAAGTGCCCTCTTCCCCTAGACACCTTTCATATTCACTTTTGTAATATTTACTTTATACTGATTATAAATAGTTCAAAAGTACAGAAAAAGTAAAAAGGCTTAAAGAATATGTCTATGTCCCTACAGATATATAGATATCCACAATTTTCCAAATCTTCTATAATGTGTGTGTGTGCACGTGTGTGCAGCACATGTATTAGTAGGTATACGTGTGTAGATGTCAAAAGATAACTTTGGGTGTTATCACTGTCCACCTTTCTTTTTCTGAAAAGTGTCTGTCATCATCCTGGAGGTCTCATTTGGTAGCCTAGGCTTGCTGGGTAGTGACCTCTTTGGATCTGCCTGCCTCTGCCTCCCAAGATCTGAGATTATGAGCAGATCTGACATACCTGACTTAAACAAGCAAACAGCAAAACTGGCTTCTGGAGACTAAGCTCAGGCACTCCAGCTTGCAAGCCAAGCAATTTAGAGACTGAACTATCTCCCTAACCCTGCATACAATTTTTATAATTAGCACATTCTACTAGGAATCTGAGGCCTGCTGATATTTCCTAATGTCATATAAGCATTTCCCTGCAGCCACGAGAAAAGCTCTCTAAATAGCTCTATAGTATCTCTTCTGTGGATGTCTCCATGGCATTTCCCCCAACACTAGATATTTAAATTGCTTTCAGAGTCTGATAATATAAAAATACTTTTATTAACATCAATTCAAGTTATTTGTTGGGTAGCCATTGTACTTAGCCCTGTGTTTGATGTCATAGATATACATCTACTACAGTATGATCTGGAATGTTCCTCCCAGGCGGAAAAAAATCAAGTCTTGGTCCCCGTGGTGGCTCAACTAGGGCATGAGAGACCATTCAGAGGTGGGAACAAGAAAAAAGCTAGGTATCTTGAGATTGTACCTTGAGGGGATACTGAGAATATTGACCCTCTCCTCTCTCTAGTACTTTCTGCTGACTCAGGGGTGTTTCTTCCTCAGATTCCTTACTATGATGTATTCCCTATCACCAGGCCCAATGGCAGCAAGATGAAGCTGCCAGACTCTGAGATCCCTGAAGCCATGCACCTTTCCTTCCCATAAGCTGTTTATGACAGGTGTGTGTCACTGAGATAGAAACTTGACTGGTGTTATGCACACCACCCACATTTGTATATTCTTGACTTCACATTGTCTTTTGCTGGGGTGTAAAATGACTACATTGTACCTTATAACTTTGTGTGAGTGACTACATCAGACTTTTTTCTAATCAAGTTTTCAGTGCACAGAAGAATAAAGAGAGTAGGTTGATGGTGGAGAGGAGTCAAGGTTGGCACACCCAAAATATTTTTTTTCTAATTTTACCACCCAGAGTGAGAGACACACCCATTCCTGCAAACTTTGCTTCTTATAGCCCATGTCAGTAGAATTAAAAGATTCCTCTCTCCTTCTCTTCCCAAATGTCCCTATTTTTAGCCTTTAGATGTAGACAAGTGTGGAAATGCTATCTCACTTCAGAATGAATAGACTTTTTTCCCATTCTGTCTCTCCAGCCCCTCCCATTGCTATGTAACTGTTCTCTATTGTCATGACTCATTCTAGAATTCTATCCCAGCTACTCCAGTCCACAATCCCAGGATCTTTCCAATGTTTCTTTAACAGGATGGGTCACTGGTCCCCAGTTCTACAGTTCTCTTCTTTTGGGTTCTTTCCCTTCCCACTTCCTCTGCTCATGGCCATTTTCCTTAAATTTGATAAAGTCATGGCTGTCTGTACACCTCTGCAGGGGTGAGAGTGAGAGAGAGAGAGAGAGAGAGAGAGAGAGAGAGAGAGAGAGAGAGAGAGAGAGAGAGAGAGAGAGAGAGAGGATGACCAGGCTGTTAGGCACACATCAGTAAGCAGCTCTTAGTGTTCTTAGGGTCCATGTAGACGAAGCAGACACCCAGGCTGTGTGAGAGAATCGTATGGTAGGTCCTAGTTTCAGACAGTGTAGTGGGAAAGGAAACCAAGAGACTTCGAGAAGAAAACAAAAGAATTTAAAACATTCCTAAGACTAGATCTAAGGTAGGAAAAAGAAACTAGTTCCTTCCATTCATTTCACAGCTATCTACTGAGTGTCAGGTAAATACCTGGCACTAATCTGGACACAGGGGTTTGCAGTAGTGGGCTTGCATTCTATGAAGAATATAGATGATGAATCAGTAGACATCTAATATATAAGCAATGATAAGTATGAAAGGGAATAATAGGAAGAGGGAGGGGCCATGGGGATGGGAGTTCCTCAGTACAGAGGGGTTGTTCGACTGATGTGGAGACATCTAAAGAATCGAGAGAAAGGTGTGAGATCAAAGTTTCCTATGTGGGTAGTTGAACAGGTGCTGGTGACAGGGACAGGAATGGGAATGGAAGGAAGAATTGGATAAGGTGGCAAGCACGGGAGCAAACATACTAGCTCTGGAAATTCTGGGTCTGAGATAGAAGGCGTCTTCCAGTGATGATGAGCAGGACACAGGAGATATTACATCAGTGGGGGCGTGTTCCTTGATTTAAGGTGTGTGCTGAAGGCGTTGCCAATGTAAGAGAAGGGAAAATGAAAATGCTATAAAACCTAAAGGAAGCAGAAACTTTCAAAGTAGTTAAAAATAAAAGGTAGTTTAAAAGACTTTATAGAATTTGGCCATTTGGAATGTCTTTAGTGGGCTCTGAGAGAGCAGATTCATGGAGAGATAGGGAAAGAGACATCTCTCTTCTCAGGATAAAAGGAGGAAGAAGGAGCCAGGGAAGGGGAACATTGGTTCCAGTAATGGGTGATGGCAGAGAATGAAGTGAAAAAAAAAAAGGAAGGCAAATTTGAGGTAGAGGGATGCTTGAAAGGGGTGTTCCTAGACTGTGTTTATTTGTTATTATTTTTCAGAGTTGCGATGGAATTAAGGTCTTGTGCATGCTTGGAAAGTGTTTGACATTTGACCTGCACCCCAATGCTCTTTTGTTCTGTTTTGATATAATGATGCTGCTACCTGGTTACAAAGTAAATTAAATCAGTTGTCAATTCCTGATCACAGTCTCTTTGATCTTATACACTAACTCAACATAAGACTGTTTTTGATAAATGAGCTTGGTCTAGGTTCTAGTATAGTGTTTCCATTTAGGCCCAGCTTCCCTATTTCTATTATCAAGAAGAATCCTGTCTTAGTTGGGGTTTCTATTGCTGTGAAGGGATGCCATGACAGAAGCAACTCTTATAAAGGAAAACATTTAACTGGGGCTGGCTTACAGTTTCAGAGGGTTAGTCCATTATCATGGCAGGACATGGTGCTGGGAAAGGAGCTACATCTTTATCCCCAGGCAGCAGGAGACTGTGTCACTAGGCCTAGCTTTAGCATATGAGACCTCAAAGCCCACCTCCACAGTGACACACTTCCTTCAGCAAGGCCACACCTACCCCAACAAAACCTCGCCTCCTAATAGTGCCACTCCCTATGGACCAAGTAAATAAACACATGAGCCTTTGGGGGCCATTCCTATTCTAATCACCACAAACCCCAAATATGATCCCAGGATTCATAGCTACCCTAGAATTTTTGTTTCATATTGACTTAGGTGAAATGTGTTCTGGGAAGCACAGACGTTTAAGACCAATATAAGAAGTGACCCAGAGTTAAAATAAGACAGAAAAAAATGTGTTCAAAGTGCTGGAAAGTATTAGGACCAAGTGATGACATGGAGCCAATAAGCCTAGAGAGTGAAAGCTCCTAGGGAGTCCTCAATCTACTTCTTGCTTCTCACATTTCTGAGCTCAACAGTAGGATGGGATGGAAGCAGCCTCCTTCCCTTCCTGTTCAAGACTGCGCCAGGCACTGATTAAGGGCTTCTGGGTGTTCATCATTAATTCCACCTGACTAGTACTGGGACCTTCCAAAGCTGGGGAATAAGACCGGGATTGGCTCAGAACC